GCCCAGACTGAGGAAGTCCTGCCCTTCCTCCAGGCCACATCCTGCTCTGCAAAGCCCTGCCCATCAGGCCCTTTCCCTCCCCACATCTGCCCCTTCCCATTCCGCTCAGAGTTTCTCTGATGATTGCTTCAAATCTTAACCCCTTTGCCAACCCATGTAACACTGGGCTGTATCTCCTACGTTATTCCTTCCTCTGTTTGTGGACCTCCTGATAAACATGTCTTAGCCCACATCCTCTATCAAGTAACAATATTGGGAATGCAGTGCTCACAGCAGCACAAGTTACAGCAGCCAAGACATGGAAGCAACCTAAACATCCACGGACAGATGACTGGATAAAGAAGAGGTGGGCGGTGTGTGTGTGTGTGTATATATATATATATATATATATATATATACATATTTATATATATATAAAATGCAATACTACTCAGCCATAAAAAGAATGAAATAATGTCATTTGCAGCCACATTGTTGGACCTGGAGATTGTCATACTGAGTCAAGTACATCAGACAGAGAAAGACAAATATCATATAATATCACTTATATGTGGAATCTTAAAAAAACAATACAAGTGAACATATTTACAAACCCGAAATAGACTCATAGACATAGAAAACAAAGTATGGCTACCAAAGTGGAAAGCTGAGGGGTGGGGGGATAAATTAGGAGTTTGGGGTTAACATATACACACTAGTATATATAAAATAGATAAACAACAAGGACCTGCTGTACAGCACAGGGAACTATATTCAATGTCTTGTAATAACCTGTAATGGAAAAGAAGCCAAAAAAGGATGTGTACGTGTATATGTATGTATGTAACTGAATCACTCTCTGTGCACCTGAACCTAACACAACATAGTAAGTTAACGATACTTCAATAAATTACAAAATATATGTATAAAGAATGAACTGCCTTGAGATCTAACCTGCTCCTTGTCACTTAAGCAGAAATCTGTTGTGATGATTTGAACACGGACGAGGTAATTAGTCAGTGGGCTTCTGTTGGAAATGATAAGGATGATGCTGGTAATTATAACAGTAACAGCCTTCTCACTTGCAGAACACTTTACACGTCGCAGAGCCTTCCCGGGTACATTCTCTTCTCACGTGAGCTCATGTACCCTACAAGAGGTGATATTATTATCCCCAAGTCGCAGGTGAGGTCACACAGATAAAAATAAGTTAAACTAGTTTTCCTTTCCAGGGAGCTGCCCTTTCTGCTGGGCTCTGCAGCTTAAAAAAGAAATGAAGCACGCCGAAAACTGATAACGCATAGCGGCGAGCCGTCCCCTCCCCTGGGAGGCAGAGGGCACCAGCGCCTCACCTGTGTCACCCCTCGGCATAAAACTCTGAGGATGAAGGACAGTTTATACAGGCAGCACAAACAAGGCATCAGAGGCTGCCTACGTCACTTTGGAGGCACAAACTCTTAGGGGCATCCTGGAAGCTCCTCTTTCCCCTTCATTTCAATACATCCTACTACTGGACAAATGCAAAATTTGGAAGGAACTTACACAGTAAAGAAATGAGTACTAATATAACTACTAGATATAAAATAGATAAACAACAAGTTTGTACTGCACAGCACAGGTGACTATGTTGAACATCTTGTAGTAGCTTATGGTGAAAAAGAATATGAAAATGAGTATGTGCATGTTCATGTATGACTGAAGCACTGTGCTGTGCACCAGAAATTGACTCAACATTGTAAACTGACTCTACTTCAACGAAAAAATACATATTTTAAAAAAAGAAAAGACTGCTAATAAAACAGACTGTGCAACTATGTTTCTAGACTTTTATGCCCTAAAAAAAGTCAGTTTATATTTGCATATCAACATCCATACATGGCCACAAAACCAAACATTTTTCAGTTATACCCCTATTTCCAAACAATGTGAACATCCTGTGTTCTTACAATTACCTTAAGTGGTGAATTTTATCTTAGTCATTCAACAGTATAAAAATCCTAGACCCAGATATTTTTTAATCATACTATAACTTTTAAATTCGAAGTGGTATACAACTTTATGCTACCAAGTGTTCGCATATATTTTATTTTATAATGAGAACTATAAAATAATCATGAAACCGCGAAGTCCCCAATATTTGTTCAAGGTGTCATGATGCAGCTTCTGGAAACCCAGTGTAAGCATGACCGCACTGGGAAAGCCAGTGGCAGTTGGAGTTTAGTGGATTTTAAAGACATTTGCCTATTTTAAATGGACTTTTACTAATACAGAGACTGCAACTTAGTATATTTGGATAAGTGATGATGGTGGCCTGATTTTACAAACACAGTCTTCAAGTGGAAATCAGGCAGAAGTCTGTCTTCAACCTAGAAGGTTAGCTCTTTAAGAATGGGGGTGGGGGGAGAATTTTAAAAGAACAAAGCTCTAGGGCCAGGACAGGAACAACATTGCAATGTTGAAGCTATTATGTATCTTCTTTTTCTGAGTGTGATGGCTAATCTTCAAGGGGTTTCCCCCTTTCTTTCTTGTTTTTCTTTGTAACAGGGAAAATTAAACAAATCTTTCCATTTTTTTCTACCTTCCTTAGAAGGTTAACTCCGAAAGATCAGGACTCGATACTGTGTGCCCTTTTACACCAACCTGGATCTCAGTAGTCTCTAAATTGTGAGCTTTAAAAAAAAAAAAGCTGACATTTAATGTGTAAATTCAACTAACTCGTGGTTGAGCTCAGCAGAATCAGCATTTACAAATCTCTATTCAGGACAAGGCATCCGGCCAAGAACTAGGGAGACCACGAGGGTGTATTACGCTCTCTGAAATTATCAAAAGGTAGACTTTGCCCCTAGACTCCAAGACTCAAAGATAAATTCCTTTATAAAGGAAATGTTAAATCTCTATTGAAATATTTTTAACAAAAATGTACATCCAGTTATGCGTATACCAGAGTGATAAACATTCACCTTTCTCCCAGGGTCTAACCAGCAAATCCCTCATCGCAGGCTTTCCAAATGCCCAGAGTCTCCTGAGGAAAGACTTTAAGAAGCTGTCAAGCTAACGGCAGTGGATACACATTTTGTAAACTTCTTATTCTCAATTTAAAGCTCAAGAACAATCACTGGCAACAATAATTACCCCTTGTTTTCCTGGAAGTGACAGGTGCATGTTACTTGTTTTCTAAAAAATGTCTGTCAAATGCCTGTCTGAATAACCAGTTTGTCCATCTTTCTTTCAAGTAAAAATAGGGTTCTGTGGAAATAGAAATAGAAACATTAATTCAGCTTGCATCTCAAGCACCCAAGTGTCTTCCTGGAGGCAAATAGGGCACCTCAGAATTCAGCACACGTGCTTTATGCATTCCTCCTGTTTTTCACACGGAATTTTAAAAGTGTACCTAGGGTTGAAATGTAATAAGATTAGTCATTTGTCTGCCTTCACGGACACTGTCCAGTGACACTGGCCTGTACAGCGTGGTGCTCGCCTGGATGCATGCTAAGACACCTGCACTTCCTCCCACCTGGTTTTTGCAGCTTCCGTGCAAAAGTCAGCACGGTGCACGAATCAGGTGCGTCTTAGGGCTGCCATGAAAACGGTTCTGACCCGGAAGACCCCCTGAAACGGAATCGGAGCCCCAGGGCGTGGAGGACAGCACTTCGAGAACCACCGGGTGTCCGCGCTCCGGAAATC